ATGGTGTCTTATGCTTGGGAAGCAAGCATTTGAGCTGGAAAAACCAATTCTACATTTAAACAGTAGAGTGTTTCATACCTCATACCACTGGCTATAGGAGTACCATCACAAATATAGATGGTGCACCCTTTTGGGAAGAAGGTGGTAATAAAGCCTTGATCTAAGGTTGCCCCTATAAAAGAATTGTTTACCTTGCTTCAAGTACAAAGTGCACGTGATGAACCTCCTTAAAAGTTCCATTTGGTACCTTGATCACCACCATGCCACGACTTTCCATCTGGAGTGGTCGCTTGTTGTTGACATAAATCTATTGTGGAGCTTGAAGAGCCTTGTAAGTGTGAAATGTAGACCTTAAGGGAGTCATGTGAAAGGAAGCACCACTATCCAGCCATAGAACTTCAAGAGTAGACATTGGTGATGGGTAAAGAGCCATCATCAACAACGAGTTGCTCTGGATAAGCATGTGTTGGGTGGTAGCCTTCTTTGCACAACACTCACGCTTGACATGCCCCATCTTTCCACAATAGTTGCAAGGACCCTTTTTCTTCTTAGAGAAGTTCGATCAAGAGCTAGGAGTTGTAGTAGAAGAGATACAAGGCCCACAACTAGTGCCTCCTTTCCTCTGCTCCCCACTCGATTGTTTCTTACCAAGAAACAAGGCCTACTCACGAGTAGCCTGAGGGGATCCTTGATGGCCAACTTAACACTCAACAATCTTGCACTCTTCCTCAAATAGATCAAAGTAGAGCTCCTCCATGGTTTTGCCTAGGACAAAAAAGAGCATGGAGGATGATTGTTGCAACTCTGGGGATACAGAGTAGAGTAGGAAGGCTTTTGCATAGTCATTGGAAACTACAACACCTACTTCATTCAATTGCTGCATTAAGCCCTTGAGCTTCCTGATGTATGTTGCCATTGTTTCACCAGGCTGTATGCGTAGGGAGAAAAATTTCTAGGTCAAAACCAATTTAGCATTAGTGGCTTTGGCTGCAAAGACTTGGGAAAGAGAGTCCCAATTGGCCTTGGCAGATTTTTCTAGATCAAGGAGATGAATAAATTCATCTCCAAGACCCAATCCAATCACGGAAAGTGCTTTGCAATCCTTGGAGTCCCAAGTAGCCTGCAAAGCGGCTTCTGTATCTTGAGGTCTTACTTCAATTCCCTCCACCAAATCCCAACAATCTTTTGCCATTAAAATTAATTGGACTTTGGTTTTCCAGGTCATGAAGTTCTCGCCCATGAACTTCTAGAGTAGCTTCTCCCATCTTGCATCCCAGTTGCCAACTGGGGTGGCCATGGTGCTCGCTAAGGTGGTTCTAGATGTAGTGCAAGGTGGAGTACTGGTAGCCGTTAGTTTCTAGAAGAAAGGATAAAATAGTGGAATAAGCTAGAAGCAAGGAGGGGGAGGAGGCGGTGGGAATCGTTGGAAGGGACACCCACATGCCGTACACACAGGGCAGAGGCACGGATGGACATCACATTGTGCTCGCTTGCATTCTTGAATCCATTGTTCCACCCTAGCAAGGACTGCAAGAGCCCTAGCACAGTCCTACTAATTGCATTGCTGTGTTTGCTAGTGTTTTGCCATCAGGATCGAAACAAACCCAATACCATGTGAATGTGTGCTTTTGTGTGCGAAATGCTCTGTTGACTTCATTGCTTTCATATGGTTATGTATATAATAGTATGGGTGTGTGTCTTGGATGAATGACTTGTCTTCTTTGCTGACATGGAGACTTGTCATCACTTGTCTCCACATCAAGTTTCTGTAATGGAGCTGCTGAGTCTGTTGTGTGATAGGTCCAGTGCCTTCAGTCCCAGGTTACCACCGATGGAAACGCTCGCAGTACAGTTGTTGATGGACAGGTTGAGCATTGAGCTAAACTTTGGAACTCCAGCCACTGTTAAGAAGTTCACAATGAGGTCCAGGCTTTCCAAACTCTCGAGGCTGGAGAGATTTCCTGGGACCTCTCGCAGAGAATTGGAGCTCAAGTTGAGGAGGTTGAGCTGCGAGAGGTCCAGGTGAGCCAGTGATGGAAGCTCGTCCCAGATGGCAGGAAGAACTCCCAAGAGATTAAACCTGGACAGAGCAAGGCCCTCCACTCGGTTGTCCGAGTCCCACTCCACACCCCGCCATGCTCTTGGATTGGCGGTCTCGTTCCACACTTTGATCCCAAGCTTGTCACAGAGAGAGAGCAGAGCCTGTGTGTCGTTGGCGATCCCAGATGGATTCATGGGACACTGTGACCGGGATCTTGTGAGAAAGACGAGTAGAAACAAAGGCAGGAGCAAATCCGCAAGAGACATGGCCGATACTCTTTAATCAAACCGATGGATCAGAACATCAAAGAGTGGTGAGGGTTTTCTTTTCGCCAGAGTTTACGGGATAGAATGTGGAGTTGGACAGTTTGACTAGTTGGGATCGTCGAAAAAACAAACTCAATTCCTGGACGCATTTGGTGGTGTATGCCCAGTCCAGGCATCTTCTTGAGGTCCTCTTCCACAGCATGCTGGATAGAAACCTCGTATTGTGGAACGCAATGCTCCAGGCGCACACTTGCGGTGACGCGCTGGAGCTCACAACGGATGAATGTGGAGGGAGTGAGGTCGGACGAGATCACTTTCAGAGAAAGAGGTGATGCAAGGGATAGTTTTTCTTTTCCAGGCAATCCCTGAGAAGCTCTTAGCTGAAGTATGGCTTGACAGAGCACTCCAGGCAGCACGAACTCTTTTGTGAGACTTTGGCTTACCAAACTCGTTTTGGTGTGAGGCAATTGCAATGGCAGCTTACTTGCATAATTGCCAACTTACAACAGCTGTGTCAGGGAAGACTCATGCAAAGCATGGTATGGTGTAAAACTAAACATGAGCCATCTACATGTTTTTGGAAGCATTTGCTATGCACATGTGTTGAAAAGCTCAAAGATAAGCTTGCAAGCACTAGCCAAAAGTGTGTCCTTGTTGGATACACAGATACAATGAAGGGCTAGAAATTCTTCAACTTTGAAACTCAGAAAATGATCGTGAGCAGGACGTATGTGACAAGAGATCTCCAGCCACTGCCACAGTTTTCTTTAACGAAAGTAGTTGAGGACAACTCGGGAAGATAGTGATAACAAATTTCGCAATCAGCTGGTGCTGCACATGGAGGTGGCAACCAGGACGATCCAGGCGGCAACAACGACAATGGGGTGAGCATGGATGGCAATCTTAATGGAGGTGAGAAATTGCTCTATAGAGCAGAAGACTTGCTACTTGACACAAGAGGTGCTAGAACCAGTTAGCTCAGCAAATGCAGTTAGTAGTAGATCAAGGCCATGAGTGCAGTGTTGGCAGGACCAAGCCTGAAACTAGTGAGGGCAATTTGACGTTTTGGCTATGAGCGCACACTCACAGAGGCTGGTGGTCAATACAAGGAGCAGCTGGATCTTCAAGCAGCTATGTGGGCTTCTCGGCAAGAAGCCAAGGCTGCTAGAGACTGCTCAGCAACAGTGCAACCTCCTACGATACAACTTTTTATTTTGCCAACTCCAGCATGGGCAGCATGATGAGCCAACTTCTACTTCTCTTTGACCATGGCTGAGATGCACTTGTCCCAAAGACCATGGAAGAAGCTCTTGCTGGACCTTATGCAGATTGGTACTTGTCAAGCTGAGTACAACTCATTGATGGAGAACCAAACTGGAGCTACCACTTTGGAGAAAGGTGATCAAGACCAAATTCATCTTGCAGCTCAAGATGGGACCTGAAAGCAACCATCCCCTCCCGCGACGGAATTCACAAAGGAAGAAAAGATTAGTTTGTAGCAAAGTTGCGAGACATATGTTACAAAGTTAGATTTGTTGCGAGAGGATTCTCAGAAGTCGAAGGAGTCTACTTCTATTGAGACTTTTTCACTAGTGGTGAAGCTTGCGTCGATTTTATTTCTCTACAACTTAGCAGCTCACAAAGACATGGAGGTCGAGTCGAGCACATGGACATGGCTACAGTGATCCTGAACAGCTCGCAGTCGCTGGCAATCCTGAACGGCTTGCAGTCTCTAACATGCTACTGTAGGACTTCCTTTCTAAATTCTTGAAAATCCTTGAGCTCCAAGGCCACCTTCTGTATAGTTTTGAACCTATCTTGATAATGAACGTAACCAAGTAGTTCTCGTTGATCCGTGCCTTTGACCTGGGTTAGAGAACATCGGCATTTCTTAAGTTGAGGCATTAGGAAACATGTGAAGTAACCCCATGGCTTACTCTCGCTCAGACGACTCCTACATTTCCATACTCCTACAACCCGCCTAACTGCGATCCATAGTTCTCATTACACATGACCATGCACTGCTGATAATCCTGGAAAGACAAGGTGGTCAGTAAGCATTGTCGCTAATCCAAAGCTCAACCTTGTGAGCCCCCATTCCCTGCACGCTATCTTGACCAGTCCAAACACTCAGAGCTGACAGCGCTGGCAAGGATATCCTGAGCTGTGCAAGGGGATTTTCGTCTTCTCCATGACCGAAAAGTCTATTCCCTCTTCAATCTCTGCATCTCTTGCAGCCATTGCCAACAGATCAAAACACAGAAACCACACTCGCATTTTTTTCTCCAGAACAGCAATTTGTTCCTGCCAATGGAGCAATATTCAGTTTGACTGAAAAGTACAAGGCATCGAAGGGGAAAAAGATGATGGCTACCCCATCCCAGGTGCTTTGGACATGAGACGGAGTCTGGGATTTGCCTGGTCCGTACCAGTGATCAGAATGGATGTAGCTCCAGGTAGTCGATGGCCGATCTCATGTACTTGTCCGTCAGGATCTTTCGGGCCACCTGAATGCAAAGCAGGATGTGGGAGACGGGGGCTTGCTCCCATGTCATCTCTCCACTGCAACTGCAAGAAATTTCTGCCCGATCTTCCAAGAAAAAAAACAAACTCAACGTATTTGAAGCGCGTTGAAACATCTTATCAAATCTTCCAATCCAACGTAGTCTCATGGAAATTTGAAGCATGAAAATTGAGTGGATCGCAGCATGGGGCCGACCAGCTTGGATCAAGCGATCACACTCCAGCAGCGATCCCCGACAAGCCTGTGGCTCCAGCAGATTCAAGCGGCAGCCAAGCGCCTGAAATCATGCCGGAGCTTGTCCGAGTGCCGCCAACTCAGAGCCGAGATCGAGCGAACTCACCTGGCACGGAATCGCTACCTCACCAACGTCCTCGTCGAGACGCTGGGAAAGTTTGGGCAGCTAGAGGAGGTGTCCCAGGCCTTCGCGCGCATCCGGCAGCCAAACGTCTTCTCCTGGAACATCATGGTGGCGGCGTACGCGCAGAACGGCCGCCTGGAAGAATCGAGGGACATGTTTGAAGAAAAGATGGCGGAGCGAGACGTGGTGTCCTGGACGACGATGGTGGCCGCTTATGCGCAGAGCAGGCAGCTGGAAGAAGCCCAGGGCCTGTTCGATCGGATGCCCGAGAGGAACGAGGTGTCATGGAACACGATGATCTCGGCCTATGCCCAGTCCGGCTATCTGGGCGAGGCTGAAAAGCTCTTCCGGCGAATGCCCGCCCCGGACGTGGTGTCACGGACGCTAATGGTGGTGGCTTATGCCCAGGCCGGGCATCTCCTTGAGGCGAGGTGGGCTTTCGAGAGCATGCCCGAGAGGGATATCGTAGCGTGGACCGCGATGCTCGTCGCGTATGCCCAGGCAGGGGAAGTGGCCGCGGCGGAGCTCCTCTTCCACACCATGCCGGACAGGAACCTCGTGTCCTGGAACGCGATGCTCCAGGCGCGAGCTCGCGGCGGCGCGCTAGAGCTCGCCCAGCGGATGAACGTGGAGGGCGTGAGGCCGGACGAGATCACTTTCATGATCGTTCTCCACGCTTGCAGCCATCTCGGCCTCGTGGAGGAGAGCTTGCGGCAGTTTGCGTCCATGGTGGTGGATCACGCCGAGGCTCCGCGCGTGGAGCACCGGGCGTGCGTGGTGGATGTGCTGGGGCGGGTAGGGGAGCTCGACGGCGCGGAGGATGTGGTGGGGAGCTTGCCCGCCTCGTCGGGAGCTCTGGCGTGGACGACGCTCACGGGTGCTGCCAAGATGCATGGAGCCGTGGGTCATGGCGTGAGAGGTGCCAATGCGGTGTTTAGGATGGATCCAAGCGACTCGGCACCGTATGTTCTCTTGCAATTGCATCTCTGCAAGAAGTAAATAAGCGCGCTGCTAAATCTTAGCTCACTGGATTCATTTCCCAGTTGTAGATCAAGGAATGAAAGTGATCTTTCCAGAGAAACAAAAATCGTCAAGAAGCACTATGTGTTCTACTTGACAATACAGGGAGATCTTTTTGTTCTACGTTGCATGCTTTGACAAGAGTTTTCTCTTATCTGCTTAGGTGACATGTCTATTACACTACATTGTCTTAAGTTCAAAGTTGATGTGCTAGTACAATTTGACTCAAACTCTCGGTGGAGTGTTTAAAACCCGAACCAATCGAACTTATGTCACTCACATCTATGGAGCGAGCGCTAGTTTTGGCCGTAGCAATTCTTCTCCTTGCGCAGCTTGCTGCTTGCCAAGGGCCCCGGGGAACTCTGGGTGTCTACCAAGCAAGCAACTCATCGAGTAAGTTCTGCTGTTGACGAGTCACCACTTCTTACTCATGTTGTTTGCGTGTTCCAGCTTACACACCTTGTCCTCGAAGTGGATGGAGCCGAGGCCAGGCTCTAGCAAATAGCCAGGCGATTTTCAATGGCCCCTCCAGCGCGTGCTTGAGGAGCTACAATCTCACCAGTGACTATAACCGTGGTTTTGGAGTGAGAGCGGTGGTCAGAGTGGTCGGGACATGCTCGGCATGCTATACTTTTCACAGCACCCAGTCGACTTTCACGTCCATCGCGCAGCCAGGCGCTCAAATCCCTCTGTCTATAGAGTACATCCCGTCCTGAGAATTGTGCGAGAGCAAATAAAAGTACCTTGTGTATAGGCTGCGAGCTTCTTAACGATTTTAACAATAAAACTGGAAACGTAGCTGCAAACAGTGCTCTTACGTATTCAAAGAGTGATGAGTATAGAGGTGTTAAACGTTGTCCGGATTTTAAGAAGACTGGAAACAGGCGCTTGGCTAGTGCTTGAGATGTTTGAAATCCAGCGGATGCTTACCAGTTGATTTTGTAGACTTTCCTTTCAAAACCTTTTTTTCTGAGATTTTGGTCTGAGCATGATATTGGAACGTTGTATATGTGACCCTTGAAGTCTTTGCTTGAGAAAGTCTGAGCCTTTCCGTGCATGAGACGGGGTGTCATTCAGCACAACGAGCTTGGTTCTGCGCAAACTCAAAGAATCTATTCAGAAATTCATCCATATGAAAAATCTCTAACCTGTCATTGATTGAGATGCTCGCAACTTTCTTCTTGGTCTTTCGCTTGGGCCTCGACTCCGTCGGTTGAGCATCGCATACATTCGTCGCTTCCTTCCTGTTGAGTTTAAACGCTAGTCATGTAAAGAAGAAGAAAATGAAGGAGAACTTACCGCTCCTTGTCTATGAGGAACTGGACAACGCTCTCGTCCAGGAAGCCCGAGTTTTTCATGGCCAAAACTCCAGCCTCGGGATCGGAATCGTTCTCGACAAGATCTTCTTCTTTCCTTTCTCTTTCTTCCAGCTTCTTCGCTTTCTTCTCCAATTTCATTAGCTTTGCCTCTCTATTACGCTCGTCCCGCTTGCGTCTCTTGGATTTCGCCTCGGACGCTATCCTAGCGAGCAAAGATACCCACTGCATTCGTATGAAGGAAAATTAAACAAGAGAAGTACCTCTTCTCGGTGTCGCGTTCTTGCTTTCGAGCAATCTCCGCGGCATCGCGGCCCTAGAATCGCAATCTGTGAGAAGCAGGAAGAATGCGATCGCGCGCCTACCTCGACCATCGTGACCTCCTCTGGAGCACCTTCGCTGTCACTCATTGGTTTCACGCAAACCCTAAACCTCATCATCCTTTCATTTGGCATTGAAGAACCCTAAAAACAGGACAATAGATTTGCTTCTAGCGATGGCATTCGCTCCTTCTCCATAGCCAAGAACACACCCAGCCCACCATCGTTCTTGCAGTTCGAGACGATCACCACGAACTCCGCGCGATCATTCACCACCGGCGTCACGTAGCTGGGCCTCCCAAAGCCGAAATCCAGGTCCTGGAAAGGGATTTTCCACCAGGGCGTGATGATCGTCCCTCCCGGAATGTTGATCATCCCGCGGTGGAGCTCGCACCAATCGATCTGCGACCGAACGTACTCCTCGGTTCCAGTAGATGCCAGCGCTCGCCGGACACGATCGACGCAAAACGCGAGAGATTGGCGGCGGATCTCTCCCGCCGTGGCGTCCACGCAGCTCGCCCCCACGACAGCATTCCCGCAGAAATTCTCCGGAAGATCGAGCTTGCCTCGCGTGCTCGTGACCAGGAAGAGCTTCGATGGATCGCCTGGAGCAAGATGATCCATCGATTTGGTTCTTGCCTGCCAGATGTGAGCTGCTAGGACCTCGAACGTGGAGGGACGCTTGATCCATTGTGATCCCAGGACCGTGTTCTTGAGGCTCTGGATCATCCCGGGCGTGAATTCGAGGACTTTAAACGCGAGGTTTGTGTGATCGAGCTCCGGAGAGAACGAGCGTGGATCGAAGAGAACTTTTGGGGGAATCTCTGGGAGCCGCTGCATTTCCTTGTGATCGTAGGAGGTGTGAGGGGGCGATCGAGGAAGCAAGAGCGATCGATCGGGACTGGGATTAGGGAAGAACTCCTGGCAGCCGCGCACAATCTTCGTATAGTCGTGAAGAAAATTGTATGCCGAGAATCCATCCATGGCGACATGGCTCGCGCAAATTCCCAGAGCGATCCCACCACACTGGAACTCCGTCACCTTTTCGAAGAACAAGAGTATTTTGCAATCAAGCGAAAGATTTGATCACTTTTCTTGCCTGGAGAGTGAGCAATGGAAGATCCTGGATGGATTCCACATTTCTTGGAAGTGTGATGAGCTCTTTTCGAAAGAGGGGATCTGGATCACGGAGATTGTGGAGCTGGGCTATGGTGGCGTCCATTGATGCCCGCGTAAACACCACTCCAGCTCCATTGCAATCGATCTCCAGGCGCCCATTTTCGTCATTGAGCTTGAAACTCCCGGCCAGGAAGTAGTACGGAACGAGGATCTTGGCGAGACACTCGCGGAGTTTCTCAATCCAATCGCGGGGATTGTCGATCGAATCGTAGACCATGATCCACTCGACATGGAAGAAAACTTGATGATCGATGTTGCTGAGATAAAGAGTTCTTCGCTCGAGAGGAAGAGCTGGGGTGACGAGCTCGGAGCTTTGAATCACCACCATTGGATTGCGGTTACCATCCATCCAACGATCGATCGGTTTTAAAGCCGGGAGAGATTCCATTCTTCGCTATAGTAGTTTTGTGTGTGTACTTGTGAGATTCCTTTTTACATCACGCAGAGGACATGGCTTTCATGCCGCCATGCGAATCGAGCCTGGCACCTCTGGCTCACGACGCAGTGGCCGATGCCGTCCATCTGGACGGCTCTCCTTGGGCTACGAGGGCTAGGATTGGAAGGAATCCCGTCGAGCGTCTCCGGCTTAAGCCTAGAAGGCGCTATTGGATCAGCTGCGTTAGGGTCGGATTTCTCTTCTCCAATCCTCCAGAGATCCGAGCTCCGCATCCACAGCGCTGAATGGAGCATGCCAGCAGCAGCATTTTGATATCGAAATCGCAGCGGCCGGCGGATTCTTCTTCATCGATTCCTCGCCCTGGATCGAGCTCTAGAGTACCTGCATTGGCGATGGAGCAAGAATGAGATGATTTGAGGAGCAGCACTCCGGCAATGGAGAGGTATGGCAGTGGATATTTTGTCGATAATGTCTTAGATTTAGACGAATTTTATTGATAGCGAGATCGAGAGATTGCGCTCCGATAGGCGCGAGCTCCTGGAATACATACTCGCCATCAACAGCAAGATCGTCGTGACACCTCTGGATGGAGTAAATTACGACAGCATCGATGTAAAGTATGTTCTTGACCGGGCACGGAAAGGTAAGGATGGTGCTTTGCGAATTATTACTCAATCTACTAAGTAAACGCTCTGGATCCCATTCAAGGCCTCACTATGGACATAGCAGCTGCATTTAATTCGCCACCACCTCAAGAGGTAAAAGATCGTGTCGTATCGACTTGCTGGAAAATTACTCTTTCTTTCACAGAATAACGACACAGTTTTATCTACGTCGCCTGTTGGTGAGGAGATTGCAGATGGGGGATCCTGTCCATCGGTGGAGGCTCCCTTCAAATTCCAAGGGGAACAAATAAAAAATGCCGATGAGATCGCTTTGTGCTTGCCAGCTTTTGAAACAGGTGTGTGAAACTTTTGTCAAGTTGTTTATTGACACCCCAGTTTGTCCCAGGTCTTTCCGACGACGATATCCGGGAAACAGCATACGAAGTTTTGCTTGCATCAGTGGGAGCAGCCGGGTGGGGCCTTTTATTTGGTTTGCTAGATTCTGATTTCTATATTGTGTAGTGGGCTGATGAAAAAGGAAGAGAGCGTCTCGCGGTCTGGAAAATGGAAGCCTCAATCGAAGGCTTCCGGTCTCGCTTGTCTGATGAGCATAATGCGAAAGCAACTTGAGGTACGTTTATCTGTAGCTCGCTACTGTAGATAACCGTCTGTATGGGACAGATATCTGAAGAGAATGACAAAAGGACAACAGATGCATTGTTTCATGCATCCAGCGGAAGATTGGGCAAAAGAACTGATAGCTTGCTTGTGCCGCTCGAGTTGTTATGCAATACAAAACGGGAAATTTTTCCAGACGGGACTACCTATCTAAACTGGCAAAAGAGATTGGTAATATTTGTAACCTCGTTTTTCTGCTCTGATAGTGTTTTGCCTTGCAGCTAAATATTGTAAGAGAAGGAGTGTTGAACAATTACCATTGGAACCTTGATCGATCGGATCATCTTGCTATGGAGTTGATGGCTTCAATAGCTAATGTTGAAACTTCCGCTGTAAGTGATTTTTTTTTATTTTTCTTTTGCGTGATTTTAAATTCTGATTTTAGTTTAAAGACCGAACCGACGCGTTAAAACGTGTTAAGGATGTCTATCTCGCAATTTCAGGAAGAAATGGGAAATCTGAAGAACCCTGTCATTGGGCCGACGGTTACTATTTGAATGTCCGTTTGTACGAAAAGCTACTGTTTGGTATATTTGACCCTGTGAACTCGAGCCAATTTATTGAGGTTAGCGTCTCATGTATGTTTGAAGGCTCACGGTATTACGTCCCTTCGTAGGAAGCAGAGGAACTCCTTGAGCTGCTAAAATCGACGTGGAGAGTGTTGGGACTCAATCAGATTGTACACGATACATGCTTTACGTGGGTTATTTTCAAACAGGTAATGTCTAAGTAATACGTCTGCTTATTCACAAACTTGGCTATGGAACAGTTCGTCGTCACTGGGGAGTTTTTCTTGCTCCAGCACGCTCAACGTCAAATGAAACTGATTACATTTGATCGACCAAGAACTGTAGCAGAACGGGCGTATCTTAAGACAACGAAACACGGGAATCTCGATGTTTCATATGTCCAAGCTGTTCTGGGATCTATTAAGTCATGGATTGACAAGCAGTTGAATGACTACCATCTGTACTTTCAGCATGTAAGTGCATGTGCTCTCAACGTTTACTCAATCTTGATTTTAGGATCGTACAAAAATGGAAGCGGTGCTTGCCATTGTTGTAACTTCTGCAAGGCTTCTAACTGAGGAGGAAACGGTAAATTGTGTTGACTCCTCTTTTGGATAATGTCAATTAATCTGTTGCTCATAAAATGCAGAAAGCTCCAGGAATATCGAATACGTTAGTTATTGCAAAGCTGATCGAGGGTTACATATCTTCATCGATTAAGGAGGCCTATGCAAGGGTTCGTAAGCGACCTGTACTCGATATTTGAATACTAATGGCTGCTTATAGGTTTTGGCACAATCTGCAAAACAAGAAGGCCATTGCGGTCGGCTGATATCACTTGCTGAAGATACTAAAAAACTCGCTGATTACGATATTACGTTCTTTTCCCCTCTCCTATGTCGTTGGGGACCTTTGTCGGTTGCTGTCACGGCTTCAGTATTGCATGCTGCTTACTTCAAGGAGCTTGTAAGTTTCTTAGAAGATAAAATTCTTACCAATCACTTGTGTATGCTCAGAAACCTTGTCTTGAAAGATTGTCGACATCACCCGACGATGAAGTCACTTCACTACTATATGCAGCGGATAACTTGGAACAATATTTATTGGACTTAGTAACTTCAGCAGAGAACGGGGATGGAAAGGTTGCCGAATATAAGGCACAAATGATACCATACGAGGTTAGCTTACTGGAGGTGTACAACCTTCTGATGTTCTTTTTTGCAGCTAGATAAAATACCGGGGAACTGGAGTATGCGCTGTATAACAACAAAGTTTGAAGAGCTCTCCAATGGTGTTGAAAGTGCTTTCATGGAGGAGGTGAGAGGTATACCCTTTGTCTATCAAATAAACTGGAGTTCTTGTGCAGAATTGGGAACCTTTATCCCCAGAAGAGCGCTATGGTCGTTCTGCCTCAGACATCTTTAAAGCAATTGACAAGGTAAGCACCAAGGCTTTAAGTCAGATCCTGTCATGTTGTCTATAGGTAGTGGACAGTTTCTTTGGCATAGAGTTTCCAATAAGGGCGTCCCATATAAAAAACTTGATAGATGCCTTGGAAAATGCGGTGCAACTTTATTCCGACAAACTACACAAGCAACTCGGTGCGTTGGTTTTTGTTTTTTTTTTTTTAGCATACCGACGCATCTTATATGTTCGAATCAGGTGACAAGGCTGATTTAATACCTCCAGCACCGGCTCTAACACGCCACAAAAAAGAAATCTCTATTAAGGTGTTCTCTAAGAGGAAGGTGAGCGATCCACATTTGCCAGACGAGAAGCGTTCGAGCGAATTGAACGCGCTTACAACAGCTAAGCTTTGCATGCGTCTGAACACCCTGCACGTAAGCTGACTTTACCAGGTTACTCTTTTCTAACATTTTCCGAACAGTTTGTACTGCATCAACTTAATCTGTTACAAGAAAATATCAAGCAGAAGTGGCTAACAAAGAGGGCACAGTATTGCAGTGGTATGAGTGGTACTTTTATGGTTGGTTCTAGTTTACGTTTCAAATTTGCAGGAAGCCAGATAAAGTCAAAGCAAAGCGAAGAGATTTTGCCTGGCTTTGAAACGTCTAAGAAGTTTGTGACCTGGGTACTTGAGCAAACGTGCGAATTTACAGGTGAATAAGGATCTGTATTTAGCTACATGTCTGACAATGTTGTATGTAGGCTTCAAGCTTATTTTTTGGGACATGCGTGAAGCATATGTTGATACTTTATACAAAGGAAACGTTGGCCAGTGTCGTATCGAAAAAGTGGTGAATGGACTTGACACGGTAAGCTTCCATTTGTTTTTGGCAGCTTCTTAGCGATTCTTTCATCTTTTTTTGCAGGCATTGGGTCAGCTGTGTGAGGTTCTTGTTGAGCCTTTACGGGATCAAGTAGTTTTTGGACTCCTGGAAGCATCTCTTGTATGCGCGTGATAGCTTAATATATGGCTGTCTAATGTTGGAAACTATACAGGAAGGATTTCTGTGGGTGCTTCTTGATGGCGGTCCGTTTCGTTCGTTTTCTCAAGCTGACACAGAAATACTGGAACAGGATCTTAATATTCTGAAGGTAAATTGATGCTTCTTTCAACTGCGGTTCTCAGTTTGCGCTCCAGGATTTCTTTGTTGCCGATGGTGACGGCCTTCCAAGAGTGACTGTTAATAATGCTGCCTCCCAGGTTCATCAAATTCTAAATCTCTACAGACTTGAGGTATTTTACCTAAATCCTTTTGCGGCCAGCTTTTCAATCTAATTCTTTCAGACGCACGCGGTAATTGAGAACTTTAAACGAGCAAGCGAACAAATGAGCAACCCTGCCAAGAGTTCCGCTCAAGTCGCCGACTCAGAGATTTTGCTCCGTGTGCTCTGCCACAGGAAAGACAAGGAGGCAGCCAAGTTTTTGAGGCAGTGCAAACTGCCTAAACAATCGTAGCGCGTCTTCATTTGCAAAAGACACGTAAGGTTCGTGTTCGTACGACTTAGCGTTGTCTTTTGATCACTCTGTTTCCAGCCTAAGCCTTTGAGAAGTTTTCACAGCACAAGCGCATTGACATACCATCGCGAGGATTTATATTTCCAGGATAGACTGTATTTACAGGCCAGGTGAGCTCCGGAAGTTCAGCGTCACTCGAGGTTCTTATCCAACACCTGTTTGTCTTTGTTTTTCTTCCAGGGCTCACGAGGCCCTCGTGGCTGTCGGTCGGGCATTCAGGATGCGACGCGTGCCTTGCCACTTAGCTCTCGTTTCAGTCAAGCGTACACTACATAACAGGTGTGACTTCAAAGTATTTAGTCACTTGAAAGTTTTCCACTCGCAGATCGTCCATCACTGCCAGAAAGAAGAATCTCTGCCTCTCTCTCTCTATCTCTCTCTCTGTCTCCAGAATGGCTCAGGAAAATTTCCAGCTGCTAAAGTCGGTTGAGGATCCTTCCCAGGCCCAGCACCAAGAAGTTGCCGTCGAGAAGAAGCCAGTGACGTTCCGGGTGCCGCGAACTCCAGAGATCCCTCGCGAGCTCCTCGCCACCAAGCCCAAGGATCGCATCGACGAGCTCCTGGTCCTTGAGGGGATAGACATTCCAGGATGCAAGCTCGTGCTGGATGTGTATCTCAATCTCCCCATCGCGGATGAAAACATGCGGCACGACATCGCGGAGTACGTGGGCTCCTTCTACTGCATCACTCCCAGGAGGAGCGACCAGAAGTTCTCCATTCGGTCCAATCTCGAGATGCTGGAGCTAGACAACGCCAAGGAGATCACCGTGACGGTCGTTCCAAGGGGGGGTTGCCATACGGAGGTTCCAATCCGAGGCGCCAACATCGTGTATGCTTGATTGATCCAGAGCGCGCGTAGTCGCGAATGAAATGCTTGTAAGGATTGCGTAGAATCTCTTATGAAACCCAGACGGTCAGGAACTCTGTTCTTGACACGAGGGGCTCACTTAAGATCTTTTATATTTTCAAGCAAATCAGTTTTCCTGGACTGAACAATATGCTATCCTCTAATCGCGATTCCAGTGTATTATTTTAAAGTAAAATTAATATACTCTTTTAGAAAAGTTAATTGAAATAATACTGTTTTGCGTACTAAAGTAATAAACTAAACTCAATACTTATTTTATAATGAACAAAATTTATGATTTGAAGTACCCAATGCCCAAAATTGTTTATTTGGATATTTTGTTGAATAAATTACCAAATCACAATTATTTTGAATTATAAGAAAGACTGGTATAATACAATTTCTCTTTGCACAATATTCACCACTTGACCATATAGCTTTAGTTTTATTATAATATAATACAAGGTTGCCATCATTCTGAAGTTTTAAGTTACATCCATAATAAAATAAATTTCCAGTTTCTGAGTCCCAAATTATTTTACTTAAAGAATAAATAATTATATTACAATTTGATTGTACATATAACATAGTTTTACCATTTGAAGAAATCAAGAAATTACTAGAAGCAATTAATGCTGGACTAGATAATGTACTAATAATATATAAACAACCAAAAAGTTTATCAAAAACATTAAAATTTTGATTCTTGTTTTCGAAATCAAAACTCCAATCGTCAGTTATTTTATATGTTATTTCATATACTCCATTTTGTTTTTCAAAAAAGTCAGAGCAATATCTTTGTATCTCTTCCTCACATGTATTTAAAATTGTGGTAAAACCTCTTTTCAAATTTTGACCATAGACTTCTTGGGTTGTTTGTTGAAGTGAACAATCATCTATAATTTTTAAAGTTAAGTGTACAAGTCCTTGAGAAGTAGGTATTAAATCACCATCTGTAAAAGTTGTAGGGTAATAATCATTGCCATTAATTTTTATTATTAATTGTCTAATAGCAGACATAATAGTACCAATATCATGTATATTCAAAACTCTTATTCTTCCAAATTTAGGCCTATAATATGGTGCTTGAGATAGTTGTATGGTAACTAACAATAAAAGTAATAAAATTATACTGTTTTTCATACTTGAAAAACTGTATAAATTGCACAAGCTATCGATCAGAGCTGGTTGTAAGTCACCACATCGAGGGATGGAGTGATCCCAGCATGGGCAATGTGAGCTACGCATCTAATAATAAATACTATAGTAATGAGAGTTTTTCTTTATAATAGTTATGCTACGATTTATAATATATTACTTAAAATCTTTATTAAAGCAAACTTTAGAACTATAACACTTGGAACATTACTGTTTTAACAAGTAATCTAACTTAGAGATTATATTTGTCACTTAGCAAGTGCCAGTATAATAATTTATTATTCATTAAGAACCTTAGTATAAAATCAAAACATTATCCTTTTATTTATAATATGTTCAAAAGTTTATTCTTGTATTGTTGATAGATTATCTAATCATATAATAAATAAAAGGTGTTTGCTACAATGAATTTGTGATGATTGAGATTCAATGACTTTCCTGAAGGTGATGTGAATTTTCTATGGTAAAAATAGAAATAATAATACTATAATCTCAATAAAATGTTAGATTTTAACAATTAAGTACTAAATGTAGCTAAAATGAAAATAAAAATCAAAACAAGGATAAAAATGGAATTTTGGAATATCTGTTTATTAGTTTGAAAAAAATATTTCTCTATATTATCATTTTAAGAAAAACTATGTGAATTCCAGTATCATGCAAAATCTTTATTAAAATATATATTTCCTGAATATTAGAATTTTTGCCTATTTAGTTAAATATATGAATAATTTGCTGCTCTGTACAGTAATACTTGGTTTGCTTTAGTTTTTTTATATGCATATAAAAGGATTTTTGTCACTTTCTTTTATCCAATTTCTTTTTGAGTTTTATTTTTACACATACAAATAGTTTAGCCATTACAAAATAATTTAGTATCTTTTAATTTAAGATTTATATTGATAAACTAAACAGATTGGATATCACATTCATAACTGCAAGGGTGGTCTTCAATATTTCACCATGTCACCATGTTCAAAAATGCCAGCTTAAAAGGCAGCTCTGCCCAGCCACAATCATATGATTAGAATCATAAAACCGGATAACAAACTATATACTAAATGTGAGGATTCCAAAATCTGACAGTTGTGTTGTGCACAAAAGCAAGAAGCTTCCTTCCAATCAAACCATACTTCTGAAAGTATCATAAAAAACCTTGAGTCTAAATGTTGACATATATTAACATCTCCTGATTAACATTTCCAGATATCATGTTAGTTTGTCTCTGTGGCTTTTGTTTTAGTGGTCACAAGAGCTTCATGGTTTTTAAGATGACATTGTCTGTGGAAACTAGAACAACCTTGTTTTTCTCTGGAAAAAATGAAAAAAATGAATTTTTTTTTTAAGAAACTGAAATATCCAAGGTTTAACACTTCAATTTTATTTACAATTTCCTCAATGTTGTAAATATAAAGCTGAAATCCAAATTGGCTAAAAGCAAGTAACGAAAAGTCATTTTATATGCATAGAAATTATTGAGCTTCGCATTGATTGTTTATTATATTAATTAATAATATGGTTTTGTGGTTTTGAATAATTTATTGTAAATAATGAGATTTAAACATGCTCACTCTAGACATATTCACCATTCCATGGAAGTGAATCATTGAGCTAGAAGGATTAGACTCGATGTCTTGGATGAGCTTGGTTGGCAATCCACAGGGAGGCTGGCAAAGGCAACAGTGTTCCTGGAAACAGCAGCAGAGCAATGCTTGTGTCCAACATGCTAATATGATCTCATTTCAACTGTTTCTAGCTAAATCGTTCCCTAAGCTGAAAGTGCTTGAGAGAGAGCGAGAGACACTTAACTGGATATTGTTTGTGATCTGCGTATGAAGCCTTAGAGGTTTGTGCACCCCACGAGCTCAGTTTCAATGAGCTCAATGCATTAGCCTACACTTTTACCAGCATCCATGGCAGCAAGTTTGTTGTGAAGAGTCAGGTGCCTCTAGAAGATGCTGACAGTGTTGAGAACGGCCCATCTCACCTAGGAATTGGCCTCGAGTTGCTTGCGTGCAGTTGAGCCGTTTGAGAAGCTTGTCCAGTTTAAAATCCAGCTCCAATCAATCACCTCTTGGATGTTTGATAATCCCCCTTCTACAAGTCTGAACTTGAGGAACTTAGTTGTCACTCCAGCCAGTGCAATGCATGCATAATTGTGCCATAAACTACGAACTTTTGAGAAATGTGATTGATATACGCATACTAAGTCATATCCTAGAAGTTAACTTTCCAGTTTTAACCTGCAAATAGTATCACCCTTGCTAGTAGCAGAATTTGAAACTTACTTCCATCCTGGAACACCAAATCCACGAAACTTGTCCCAGCTTGGACATTTATCGAGCCATTCTGTTTGAAGGCATCAAGGCTTGAGAATATGTCAAATTCCCATCAAGTAAGCCACCAAGAAATGCTTCTATAGAGCACTAGATTACTATTAACACAAGAGAAACTGGAAAAAATGGGTACCTGAGCTACTCTATTTCTGTACTGATTATAACTCAAACACCACCATTGTTCTAGATGAATGAAAAACAAAGAGGAAGGATAAGCTCTTACCTAATCCAAACTAGAGCAAGTTGGAGATGTGTTTGCTGATAGAACTATGCAGCGCTTGGCATGGAGAGAAGAGACACCAGGAACCGCAACAGCAGGGAGGCTAAAGCCTAAATGGACAGAGCAGTAAATTATTCATATATTAGGTTACATAAACTATATAAAAGATATATTTTTTAATAAATAATGTCACATAGTTTTTCTTAAAATGAAAAAAAAATTTATTGAGATTATACTATTAGAACAGAAATGTTTTTTTAAGGAAAGTCATTGAATCCTAATCATTACTAAGGTTTGTCAACAATATCACAATAAAGGAAGGGGAACATATTATTAATAAGACTGTAGCTTAATATTTAGGTTACAAAATTTTTTATTTAATAAAGATATATATCATGAATCATAGTAATTATTAAAAAAATTCTATTATTATATTTTTATTATTAGACTTTTATTTTATGCAGTTATCCAGATAAAAAGTAGTATTCATATTGCTCATGTGTGCACAAAGGGGCAGCAAGTGATATAGGAACTACCATCTATAGTTGGACCTTCTGTGAGAAAAAGAAAAACCAATCCAAGCAAAATGGAATCAAGATCACTTGCTGCCTAGCACAATTTCCCTCTATAGCTCTTAGCATGTGGATGATATTGAGATAAAATCTCCAAAGCCCTTATCACCATGATCTAGGGTCAAGATCACTTTTGGTCAGAAGTGGAATTAAGATTAGTACCCCCGTGTTTAATTCCATGCTCTTACAAGAAGTGTTTTGTGTCAAGCATTAGCTTTGACCACATGGTCAATATCGGTCAAAGGGAGGCTCAAGTTAACCAGGTAGCTTGGGGGTGGTTAGGTGGTGAGGAACCTCAAGAGGTGGTAGAGAAACTAGATTTTTGTCTTTTCTTGCGCTGGTTATAACATTGGTATTAGAAGAGTTGGTTATGATGGCTGACCAAGTTGAACACTAGAATCTTATTGTCAATAGTGGTGCCGATGATGATGCCGACAGAGCTGTGGAGGTTTGGACCATTCAAGATGTTATTCATGAGCTACGAGCCCTTAATCAAAATCAGCAAGAGATGCTAGACGAGATGTATGGCATGATAGATACCATGCATGAGTGTGTTGAGGCACTCAAGGTTATGCGTGGTGGCACTCCAAGTAAGCCTCTTTGGTAGATCGACTCAAAATTCCAACCTTTTCTAATGATGGTGGTGTGGACGAGTGTCTTGCTTGGCTAGCCAATGGGAAGAAGTTTTTTGCTGCTAAAGGAACTCCAGGTGCAGAGGATTTAATGGCCATTCTAATGGTTTTGTGTGATATAGGTATGCAGTGGTGGAATTAGCTTGAGGAGTCTTGTGTTGCGGATAAGAAACCACTAGTGTCTACTATGGATGAGTTTGAGGCTACTTTTCATTTACATTTTGCCCCTCA